TACTCTGCAGAGTACTTAAATATATTTCACATACAGCAGAGTGAAAGTTTTTCCAATCTTTTTCATGCCTCTTATTTAACCTCTGACATCAGTCCTCATCTGACATTATGTCCCACCCAATACTCAGTTTACAGCAGGAGGCAATGAAGCTCCAGGAGATGGTAAACATCTCATCTGTTCATGGGGTCTTTCAAAGACAAATTTTCTTACATATTTAGTTGACGACTTGCTTCCTAAAAAGTTTCGGACTACACTGTGAAAGTCAGCTGTCAGACAGAAGAGCACAGGGACAAATTAACCTAAATTAGCAAAATTCAACCCTGCCAGGTAAGGTCCTCTTGAGGCAGAGTAAACAACACGTTTGTCAGATCCAACAGCAAAACACTTGCATGTTTTCATAGAAAGTACATGCACACAGGTCCACACATCACATAAACACATAAACCTACACACCCACACTGAACAGATGGGGGTCTCTCCCATCTCTAGTTATGCGACTGGAGAGACAATTAGCACTCTGAGTGCTCCCAGCACCAACAGATTGGCGGAGTCACCACTGAGCCAAAAAGAACAGCAACAGAAACCGAGACAAAGTACAGGAGATGACAAATTTGGAGGCGTAAAGAGAGAAGGGGGAAAAAATGCTTTTTTTATCTTGACAAAGAGAAGAGTCTTGGCAAGCGGCTGGAGAAAAATACAGGTGACACAGACAAAAAAGACAGAACGAGAGGCAGGCAAAGTGTGCAGAGGAATAGATAAACAGATGGACCACATGTGGTACTGGCAAGCCACCGATTTCCACGACTAGCCAGCAAGCCAGTCCATCAGCTGTTCAAACAAACAGATACAGTCAGTGAGCCGTCCGGCCAGCTAGTCCAGTCAGCCAAAAGTGAGTACATCAGATGTAGGAGAAAGGGAGGAAGGAGCTGGATGTGGGAAGAAAAGAAGGAAAATGAGGATGATTATGATGGTGCCAGAGTCAGAGAGGTGTGTTGAGGTCTGCGAAAAATACAACAGGATGAAAACTGAGAGAAGGAAGAGAAGAAAAGGAGGAGATGATCCAGAGGAATGGAGGCAGAAACACAGTTCTGTTTCCTTCCAGCAACCCTGAGATGAGTCATCATGAGTGGGTTGCCTGCTCGCCAGGCGAGTACTAAAATACACCACATACAAAAAAGGCATCATACGCACACACACACACACGTACACACTTCAGAGAATCAAACATGGACAGAGGAGATGTCAAACACTCTCACACATAACTGTCCACACTAAACCGTCCACACACACACACACACACACACACACTCACAGGACAAGCAATGCAGACAACAGACTTGACCTATCATGATCATGAACTGAACAGCCAGGCCTGTAGGATATCTAAATAGCATTTGTGTTTCGCGGATGTGTCTGCGTGCATATTTACATGTAGATTTGTGTGTGTGTGTGTGTGTGTGTGTGTGTGTGTACCTGGTGTCCATGCAGTGTATACAGCAGTTTGCCCTCTACGAGGTCCAGTATTTTCATTGTGGAATCGCTGGATGCAGTGATTAGGAAACTGCCAGCTGGGTGGAAAGCCAAACTGTTCACCACACCACTGTGAACTGGAAAACAAATATACACACGGACACACACACAAACACACACACACACCAAGAGGGAGAGAGAGTTAATAACAGGACTTCAACAAAACTTTTGTTACTGTAATTCAACCTGAAATACATCCTTCTGCAAGTTAGTACAAATAGTCACACAAATCCCACATTGCTGAGCAGACACTTTCACTTTCTCTTTCTGTGAAATAAGAATGAACAATTAAAGATTATTCTGATTCACATCAAAATAATCCAACTACATAATCAAATTTTTTATTAATTATGCAATCTAAAACAGATCATCCATCCATTATCTATACACCGCTTAATCCTCACGAGGGTCGCAGGGGGCTGGAGTCTATCCCAGCTGACTCAGGGCGAAGGCAGGAGACACCCTGGACAGGTCGCCAGTCTATCGCAGGGCTACACTTAGAGACAGACAACCAAGCACACTCACATTCACACCTATGGACAATTTAGAATCACCAATTAACCTCATCATGTTTTTGGACCTTGTGGAAGGAAGCCGGAGAACCCGGAGAGAACCCACGCTGCACGGGGAGAACATGTAAACTCCACGCAGAAAGATTTCGGTGCCCCCACCGGGACGTGAACCGGCAACCTTCTTGCTGCGAGGCAAAAGTGCTAACCAACCACCCTGCAGCCCTAAAACAGATCATGAAATACTAAAAAAAATACCTGTCACAATATCCTGGAGGTGAGGTTCTCACCGTTTTCTAACTTTCAGTGCTCTACCTACATTAAAAAAACAAAAACAAACAAAACATATTTAACTTAGAAGATTTGTTTGTTTGATATAAGTTTTCCACTTTGGTGTCCCTCATTTCATAATTCAGAACCTACAGATACGGAAATGTGTTGGACACGCTAAGTTTTCTACTTCACTGGAAAGTCCATTTTTAGTTTGCAGCAGAGGCTTGAAGCTTCAATTTCACAGTGTAAACTGCAAAAATTTAGGCCAAGCAAATTAAGCTCTGAACATAGCTCTACCCTTACAGGACCAAAAAAAACTGCCTTCAGTCCAGATAAGTAGTTAAATTAATAACATAAATCAAGCTAAAATTAGGTAAACTCATTTACTGTAAGTCTGATTCCTTTGTTTTGTGTTTTTGAAGTACATGTTGAGTTTGTTTCCACTGCAGTACAGCTAGACAGGGCCAATGCTCACTAAAACTTGGTTTAAAAAAAAACTAACAAAAAAAAACTTTCTCAGTGGCGGGAGGGTGGCAAGGATGGAAGATTGATTCTTGTCAGATCACATCTTTGGGGCCCTGACAGCCTAAACACTGTGCAGACCAGATTCAAGATGTGGCCTGGTTGCTCATGACGACTCTCGTAGAGGTCAAGGAAACATCATTAAATGTGCTGTTTCATTTGAAAACCCCAAAGTATTAATTTTACTATCATGTAAATTCAAGTGTGAGAGAAAGATTTCACATTTGAGAACCTGAAACCATCACGTTTGGTATTTTTGCTTGAAAAATGACTTAAATGATTATTCAGCTATTAGTTTCACATTGATGCCCCTAAAATAAATTAATCTCGTAAATATTACATAAAAATATTTCAAAAATATATGATTGGTCATACTTACTCAACATACTTCTATACGGTCGTGGGGCATGCTTGTTTTTGTTTTACATTTTTTCTCTCTTTAGCGTTATTTTACAGCAACCCAGATATTGTAAAAAGTTTAATATATTCCTCAAAGGCACTTAAGCAGCACAGATGTTCACCAACACGATTGCAACTGAATTGCACTTCTGCTGTATATCACATCTCTGCAGGAACTAAGAAACATCTGGTTCATATCAACACACACTATTATATCAGCTATAGTAGTCTATAGCAACAAATCGCAACTTCCCCAGACTGTCATTATTCTGACATGTGGTGAATGAGTTCTGGACAAAATGAGGACAGAAGCCATTCAACAAGCGATAGGTCCCTCTGCTGGCGTGTAGATGCAAAGACATATACCAAAACACACTGATACCTCTCGCTGTAAAAAGATGCTGAATAGCTGCAAACATACAAAGAGTGGGAGGGTGTATTCTTTAGTGTGGCTCAGGTTCAAACAAGGACAGAGAACAGCTCAGCAAATCAAAAAAACAGCTGAATTAAGTGTATCATAATGAGATGATATGCCTAAAAGACAGTTCGGCACACCTTTCTCCTACTTCAATCTCTTCAAGGACTAAGGTTTTCCAATCAGGCAGCTGAAGCTATATATTATATACATCTACTTGGAAGTATTTATAGTTACTAATAATTTCCATGGATGTCTAACAGTAACCACACCACATTTTAAACACAATTTTACACAGCGAGTGGAAGAGGAGAGGGGAGGGGAGGCGAGGAAGAGAAGCTTTTATCTTCATGGCCAATCTCCTCAGACAGATGTGATTATCCATTATTAGATCTCATGACTGAAATCCATTTAAGAGAGCTGATTAGAACAATCAGCCTGAGTGGCAGACTGACAAGAAGGCATCAACATTTGGTTTCCTGAATATGCAAGAAATCTTTAATCTTGATTATCACACTAATTATGAGCTTTAACGCTGAATTTTACCTTGGTGCTATTTCAGTTATCTGTGGACCACCTCATCTGCATTTAACGGTGAAAAAATAAAGACCCACAATTTAAAGACAGATTAAATAAAGGTTCAATTTAGGTGGGTTGCAGAGTCTGCTGAGAGTAGATGACCAGACTTTGTTTTCCATTTAAGCCTTTGAGACTAGGAAAAGAACCATACATCCAAAACAAATACAAATTCTTACATGTGGTGTTTAAAAGCATCTATTAGTACAACAGCTAAGAAGTTTTGTTAAAGATTAAAGTCTCCTGAGATGACGATCAGAGACTGAGGGTGTGATGTTTGCAGCTGGAACACTGAACTACGGATGAGTTCACAGAAATCCTGCAATATGTCCTTAGGACTGAGGTGGTTGTAAAAATTTAAAAAGTGCTAATAGTCAAGTCGCACCACTCAGCAGCCATCTTGGTAACGGTAATTATTTTAGGGTAAGACTAGTCCCCTAATTAAATGAATGAGGAGGGAGCCATACCTGCCATTTTAATGACATTGAACATGCATGTGTAGAATCATCAATCAAATCAGATTTTTTTTTTAATAACTTAAAAGTATGGGTTTAGAAAACATTTTGAGTGGCCAGTCTCTCCCTTGTAATGTTTCAGAAGAATTAATACTAAAAATTATTCTGATGCAATGGTTATGTCTAGATTAGATGCTACTTGTGGTTTTTGCTCCATTAAAGGATCATGATCTTAATATTACTTTTATGCAGGTGTTTGAGGAGTGTTTACCTTGATAGTGCTGTAGCATCTTATGGGATCTGATGTCCCAAACCTTGACAGAGTTGTCGGTGCTAGCTGCAGCAATGCACGTTCCACTGGGATGAAAGTCCACACAGTTTGCATAACTTGGAAGAAATAAAAAAAAATTAAAAATTAAAAAACAAAAACACAAAAAACACAATATTATTCTGGAAGGTTAATCAAGATTTAAAAGGCTTAAAAACTTAAGACATTAGTGCCAAACACCTCCTACACAAACATTTTATGAATACCATTTTCTCTTCAATTTAATTAGAATCAAAAACACTTGATATCTAAAGCTCTTAGCTGGTGCTACACAGGAAGCATGTAATGACTGAGTAACTGCTGAGTGCCTTCAGAGTACAGCAACAATAACAGAGCAGCACATGGCTATTGGATCAAACGTCATATTCTTCACTTGTCATTGCTGCGATATAAGTAAACATGCAAGTCTCGTTTCTGATGTTACCAAAATACCAGCATAACAACTGACAAAAAACATACGAATCCTGCTTGTTCCTCCCACACACATCGAGACATTTCCTATGAGATGCTTCCTCCTTCTCCCCCCTCCTCCCAATGCATCATTCTGGTCCCAAGTGCTCACCCAGCATGTTCATAGAAAGAATGAATGCACTCTCTGCTGTTCTTGTCCCACAGTTTTATTGTCTTATCATCACTGGATGATGCAATCAACCGGTCATCTGGAGAAAACCTGCAAATAAAGTATTTAAAACTGTAATCAAAAATATGTTAAACACTAAATAGATAAAGGGGAAAACAAAGGAGAAAAAATTTAAAAGTAATACTTAAGTGGAAATACAACAAACACAATTACAAGTACAAATACCTGCATTAGAAATAATATTTAACTGCAAAAGTTGCATGGTACACAATATTATACAATGATAAATGCATGTGTGTCTCATACTTGGCACAGCGGACCCAGTTGATGTGCTGGTTCAGAGAGAAGAGGAACTTTTGCCTGTGGACGGTCCATACTTTGATGGTCTTGTCATCTGAAGCAGTTACCAGAGTATGTCCGTCACCAGAAAAGTTAACACTGCGCACGGTTGCAGTGTGAGCTCTGAATGACGTTGACTCAGCCTTCCTGTACATACAAGACAATACAAAAATGCAAAATAAACAAATAAAACCCAGTGGGGGTTCAGTAATGTGTGCTTTCCTTTGTGCTGGTAGAGGAACGAGATCAACTATGTTTAACAGAACTTGTTTTGTTGCCTTTATGAGTCATCGTCAGTGTCCTCTGTGGGAGTTTTATGGTGAAACACAATCAGAGTAAGAGAAAACAGAGAAAAATACTGCACAAAAAAAGTGATACTTCAAAACCTACATGCTGGGCACCCAGAGACGTACAGTCTTGTCCCTGGAGGCGGAGGCCACCAGGTGGCCGGAGGGAGAAAAGTGAACTGAAGTGACAGCATCTTTGTGTCCATCTAACCGATACGCTCGCATCTGAGGCTTCATGTTCCAGATCATAACACAAGAGTCCATGGAGCCCGTGGCTGGAAGAAGATGGAGTACAGAGTAGTGGAGTAAGAATATTGTGGATGGCCACAGAGGGCACAGAAAATGTAAAAAAAAAAAAAAAAAAAAAAAAACAAAGACAACAGATTGAGCTACAGACAAACAAACAGAAAAAAGAGCAGTGGCAGTTACCGATCTGTTTCATGTTGCAGCTGAAGTCCACACTTGTCACAGTGTCTCTGTGACCCTTGAAATGTCTCTCTAGGGTTGGATCAGACTATGTGGACAAAGAGAAAGAGACAGATGTGAAAACTTGATATTACACTGCAATGACTAACTGTCATGACAAAGTAGATAAGAAAAACAAATCTTCAAACATAACATCATTTGGTATTAATTATTAGGAGCTTTACACTGAATAACTGCTAATGTGCTTCATCAGGGCTGTGTGGGTGTGTGATGTGACTGACAATGGCCTGGCAACATAAGCAAACCACCCCACAATTATCACACACAGCTAAAGACTGATGATATCCTCTGCAATGACTCAAGAGTTTGTACAGATGACTGTGTGCAATACAGTTTGGAAGCAAATAGCTCAGGATAATTCTTTGACTGTAAAGTATGCATTCTGATCATAATCACTAAATGCCAATGAGAAACCATCTACTTGCGTGATGTCACCAAATTTATCAGGACATTCTTTTCCCTCAAGACATTTAGACATGACACAAACACGAACAAAAAAGGTGTTGCAGTGAAACTGGTGGTGGGCGAACTCCTTGTAGTCGTCTTAGTTTCAGTGTCCTAGTGTTGGCTCACTGTCATGGCTACTCTGAAACTTAAATGCAATTGTTAATGTTATTAGAAACCTTTTTTCAGCTATGACAAGTCAAAGTGTCTGCTGTGAAAAACACCCACTGTTTGTGACACATCTCATTCCAAAACCATGGGCAGTAATATGATACCATAACCGCCTCTGCTCTTCTGGGAAAGCTACTCACCCAATTTTGTGCTAATTCATGAAAAACAGCTTCTAACCTCACAAATACACAATACTGTGTGACTTCTGTGGATGAACAGATAAAGAAAATTAAGCTGTATTGCAACTGTAAACCTTTCAACTAACTTGTATGACATCACAGTTTCTTGTAATAGGCATTGGCAAAATTGGTGATCCCATCAGATTTAGAAATGGCCACAACTTTAGGTTCACGATATCTTTGCCACTCATAAGTTATGACTTTTTGTATATTTTTAAGGAATGTTTAGCTCATGTCTTGGTATTGCACAACATTGTGAAACAGTTACTTTGCATTTACTGTACTGTATGTGACGAATAAATCTCCTGAATCATGAATCAAATTCTTACCCCTGGCAAGCAGAAATCTTGAAATTTGCAGCCCTGCACTTGCATTATATAACAAAAAATTTGCTAGTAAATCCGGTCAGCTGATGTTAATTGTGTGAGCTATACTTATTGTTGGGTAGTTTAATGTAAAACAGCACATCATGGTGTGTTTTATATGCAGAAATCTTTACTTTGTAAAGTGCATACTTAAGCTGTCAAGTAAATGTAGTGGAGTGAAGTATATTATGAAATGGGATAAAATATTCAAGTGAAGTATGATCACGTTGAAACTGTACTCAAGTACAGTATTAAATAAATTTAGCCTCTGAGTATAACACTCGTTATCACTATGCAAATTAGTGTGTTTTGTGCTTTAAAAAAAGAAGGGAAAAAAATAAGTCTGGTGTTGTAATAACTAAAGCCGCAGGGCGGCGTTGTTTCACCGTATGCTTATTCCTAGACTCATTCCTTTTTTGTTTTTTTGTTGTTGTTTTTTGTGGGGGGGCAATGGTTTATTGTGTAATAGATAAGTACAGATGTTGTATGTTTTGTTTTTGTCCCCAGTCCACAATTTTATTTTATTTTTTTTAATATTAAGGAAACGTGTTTTTATCAAATTTTAACCCCGTGTTTCGCCTGGCAGGCAGGAATTCCTTATTTGCGCTACCACCATTACGCTTCACCAGTCAAATTACCTATTATTAAATCAGAATGTTGGAAATACTATGACGATTTAATGTGGTAAAGGTGGGGCTCTGGGTTTCTAAAGCGTGTGCGTAGGACTGTGGGCTCTGACTTGAAAAGAAGCGCTGCCTGACAGGCTAAACTCCGGGCGGTTTGCCAACGAGGCAACAACCGTTCAGGATGAGTTACCAAGGAGACGGGCGCCGTGTTACTCGTCGCCGCTAGCCGTTAGCTTCGGGGATAGACCAGAGTTTCGGTGCCGCATGTTCTGCTTCAGGAGGACGCCTGTGTCATGGCTGAGCTCCATATTATAGGACAGATCGTTGGGGCCAGTGGTTTCCCGGAAAACAGCCTATTTTGCAAATGGGGAGTTCATACGGGAGGAGCATGGCGTCTCCTGTCCGGGCTGAAGGAGGGTCAGACTCAGGTGGATATCCCCCAAACCGGAGACATTGCCTACTGGAGTCACCCGATTGATCTGCACTACGCGACCAAGGGGCTTCAAGGCTGGCCCAAGCTTCACCTCCAAGTGTGGCACCAGGATTCTTTCGGACGCTGCCAGCTGTACGGATACGGCTTCTGCCACGTCCCCTCTAGCCCCGGTCACCATCGGATAAGCTGTGCGACCTGGAGGCCGCTCGGCTCCTGGCAAGAGCAGCTAGCGCAAATGTTTGTCGGCGGAGGTCCCCAGCTCCGCAGCCCAGATCTCATATACAGCGGGGCGGATAGATACAGGCTACACACGGAGGCCATGGGGACTGTGGAGCTGGAGCTCGGCCTTATAATGAGACACTTTGACAAATATGGCGTCGAGAGCTAAGACGTTGAAAACAGAAAAGAAAAAGAAATTAGGGAAATTGTGACTGTTTACATGTTGTGCAGGCCTTGCATTTCCTTGTTAACTTGTTTTTACTGCAGTTCTGTACATTTTTAAAGTACTTTTTACAAACTAGGAAACCCCTCTATGTAAATAAAGAACACAACAGTCTTCACGAAGTTGGTTTCTTGATGATGTGTACTACAACACTCACGGTTATGCCTCAAATTTTTGAAATCTCCATAAATGTGTATCCAATATAATAAATACTTTTACTTGCTTTTGAATTATGTTCTTGAAAATCTTTGACAATTATAAGTTATAAAGTTATTTTCTAATAACTTTGAGTTTTGACATTAATAATCATGAATATAGAGAAAACTGTGCTAATGTTGTTTCATTGATCAAACACTGAACAAAGTGATTCACGCTGCTGAGTGTGTTTAACGAGCTCCATAAAAGATTATCTATGTGGACCACCGGTTTGCAGTATTGCAGAAAGCAATGATAGCTTCATATGTAAATGCACCAACAGTCTAATAACTGGCTACAGCGAGAATACATTTTTTAAAAGCAACCCAAATGCACTTTTGGCACGTGTGCATTTTAAATCAGATCAAGTTTATTGTCATTTCTCTGTACATACACAGTAGTACAGGCAAGATGAGAGAGCGTTTCTTCACGATTCAACAACTTAAAGCAATTTAAATAAAGACTTGGAACATTTAACATATAACTAACTTCTCAATTTAGCACCATAAATTGTACATCTTGCATGCCAAATCTGACTGAAACACTAGAATATTGATGGTCAAACAATGCATTCAACCTGGAGCCACAACATAATTGTGCTACATAAACAACAAAATGATTCCATAAAACATGCTCAATAGCACAGTTTGCAGCAACCTAAATTACCATAACTTATGTGAATACATATCTACTGCTGTAAACATACAGTCTGGTCCATAAATATTTGGACCTTGACACAATTTTCAGCATTTCGGGTCTGTATACCACCACACTGGATTTGAAATGAAACAATAAAAATGTGCTTGAAGTGCAGACTTTCAGCTTTAATTTGAGGGTATTTACATCCAAAATCAGGTAAAAGGTGTAAGGATTATTATATGTGTCCTCCACCTTTTTAAGTGACCAAAAGTAATTGGACAATTGGCTTCTCAGCTGTTCCATAGCCAGGTGTGTGTTATTCCCTTGTTATTTCAATCACAAGGAGTAGCTGGGAGGTCTCAAGTTCGTTTCAAGTGTTTAGTTTGCACCTGGAATCTGGTGATGTCAATTCTCAATATGAAGTCCAAAGAGCTGTCACTATTAGTAAAGCAAGTCATCACTAGGCTGAAAAATCCAAAGAAACCCATCAGAAAGATTGCAGTAACATTAGGTGTGGCCAAATCAACGGTTTGGTACATTCTTAAAAAGAAACAATGCACTGGTGAGCACAGCAACCCCAAAACCAAGGAAAACAAATGTGGTGGATGTCATAACAATCCTTTCCTTGGTCAAGAAAACTCTCTTCAAAACAGTTGGTCAGATCAAGAACAGTGTTCAAAAGGTAGGCATATCTGTGTCAAAGTCAACAATTAAGAGAAGACTTGATCAGAGTGAATACAGAGGGTTCACCACATGGTGTAAACCATCGGTGAGCCTCAAAAACAGGAAAGCCAGATTAGAGTTAGCAAAAAAAACAAACAAAAAAAAACATCTAAAAGAGCCTGTGCAGTTGTGGAACAACAGATGAGACAAAGATCAACTTGCACCAGAATGATGGGAAGAGAAGGGAAGGAACCGCTCAAGATCCAAACATAGCACCCCATCAGTGAAGCATGATGGTGGGAGTGCAATAGCGTGGGTATGTTTGGCTGCCAGTAGAACTGGTTCTTTTATATTTATTGATGATGTGACTGCTGACAAAAGCAGCAGGATAAATTCTGAAGTGTTTCAGGCAACAATACTATCTGCTCATTATCAGCCAAATGCTTCAGAACTCATTGGACGGAGCTTCCCGGTGCAGATGGACAATAACTTGAAGAATACTGCAAAAGCAAAGAGTTTTTTAAGGCAAAGAAACGGAATGTTCTGCAATGGCCAAGTCAGTTTCCTGAGCTGAATCCAATTGAGCATGCGTTTCACTTGCTGAAGACAAAACTGAAGTAAAAATGTAAGAACAAGCATGAAGTGAAGACAGCAGCAGTAAAGGCCTGAGAGCGCATCACCAGAGACAAAACCAAGCGTGTAGTAATGGCTAGAGGTTTGAGACTTCAGTCTGTCATTGACTGCAAAGGATTCACAACCAAATATTAAAAGTGACAATTTGATTCATGATTATGTTAATTTGTCCAATTACTTTTGATCACTTAAACAGGTGGAGGGCACATATAAGATGTGTTGTAATTCCTACAACGTTCACCTGATTTGGATGATACCCCCCAAATTAAAGCTGAAAGTCTGCATTGAAGGCATATCTTGATTGTTTCATTTTAAGTCCACTGTGGTGGTGTACAGAGTCAACATGCTGAAAATTGTGTCAGTGTCCAAAAATGTACAGACCTGACTGAACGGTGGAAGTAAAAAGAACACTGCTTTTCCACGTGAGCAAGGGTTCCTGTCTCAGCAGCACTGACATTGGTTGTTCTGTAAACTTTAAAAATGTGACTAACCTTGAGCATGTACTGTACTTTCATATGCTCGTATTTATCAATTTATTTCAAAACACTATCTGCAATAACTTCTTCACCATGTCACTCTGACAAGAGCAACAAGAAGTGTGAACTAACTTCAACACTGCTACAATTCAGGGTCGAACATTGTAGTTTTTACTCCACTACATATATTATTATCTTTATTTAGTATAACAATATAAATAAAATACAATAAGGTAAGATGCAATATTATAGATTAAGATAAAATTGTACTAAATCAAAGGAGGAGATTCACAAGCAACACAGCAGAACAAGTGTTAGTTCAAACACCTCCACCAGCACTCACTTTACATTTATGAACATAATATGCATCAATAAATATCACTCCAACAAAATACCATTCTGCTTCATGAGTACTTCCACTTTTAGTACTTCAAATACATCTTGTTGCCAACACGTTCGTCTTTTCAACAATACATTTAAATGCATGACTACCAGTCATAACAGATACTTTCGACACTGTGGTATTTGTACCTTCTTTTAACTACATGATCTCAGCGCTTCTTCTCCTCCTAGCAACAAATGTACAATTTATACTTGTCACGGTAAAACTGGGGTTAACGAAGCTGAGGACAAAGTACCCAGATCTTATCAAAAATAGTCACGAATCAGTGCATATATCAACTTTTAAGGTGTCGCCAAGAAGCCGAACTTAAACTACGAATAAGAAACGAACTTCATGACAGTGGCTAAAGTAACAAGTCCCATACTGCTAATACTCACCAGTGCAGAAGTCATTTTCCCTGATAACGGAGACAAACAGCAGGTAAACGCGACGTCCCGCTGTTCTAAGCGTTACAACCGAAATATAACCGTGCTTTGTTACGGTGTTAGGACCAACTGGTTATCGTCCCGTTTAGCTCACCGGCTGGCTAACGTTAGCTAACAGCTAGCTGGTAGTTGCTGACAACAACAAAGTTTAGTTTACGCGCCGCTATTGGGCGCTGAGCAGCTGCTCAGGCTTCTTAAAGGGGAAGTCGGGCCGCTAACCGCGTCTCTGTCGACAAAAACTACCAATAAACAGTGATAATGTTGTACAAAAACTAACAAATAAAATGTGTGCATGGTTAAAAATGCAGGCACACATTAATAATGTGATTATAATGCACATACACAGTAAATGAGAGATTATAAATACCGAGTCGTTTGAAAGTTTAGTAACATAAGGTGGCCACCAGATGTCAGCAGTGCATTAGAGTTTTATAGCAAATGTATGCACCAAGTCTTAAAGGGTTTTTGCTGTAGCCTCCATCTACACCTGGTCCTAAACACAAGCTATGCTCCTAAAGGTAAACCAAGGTTGTTTTCATGCAAGAATGAGCTGTGTAGAGTATAATGGAAAATAAGTGCATTTTTTCTTAAGTCATTATAAATATGAGGCACTTGTTTTTTACTTGAGAATGCCAACTTTTAGTTTACTAACTTGGGAAATGTTGTAGTTTCTTACTCGAGTACATGTATTTTGCAGCTGCCTGTCAAACGTTCACTGTGAAGCAGTTTAAATTGGCTCATTAAAATGCAGCTTATGTGTAAAGCATCAACAGTTAAAGTCTGACAAGAGCTACTCAGCAGATAGTTAAACTTTTAATACTTTAGTTTTTCTGTTAGTGCTTCTCATGTGAATGCGAGGCATAACCGTTTTGTGTTACTGCTACTTTTATTTAATCAAAACCTCCAGATATTTCTTCCACTATTAAAACATTTTTGCACTAAAAAAACATAAATTCTAAAATATCCACGCTTGAGTGCTTACATCTTTGTAAATAGTTTGTATCACCATGGTCAGATTAGTCTACGAGGCAGAAAGAAGCTGCTGAGCCCCAACAGGCAGGAGGCAGGTATTTTCATTTGTCAGTTAGAAAATCAATGGTGGCTCTGTTTCATCCAAATGGCCCCATAATGTATTTTTATTATTTAGACCTATGCATTTCCTATTGTAACATGTTATAGTGTCTTCTGTAGAAAAATTACATTGCAGAAGGACCTGAAGTAATAAAGCACAAAATCATACTCCAGGTTCTTTACCATGTCAGTTTATGGCTATGCCTTCCAGTTTTTAATAGCGTTTCACAAAGCAGCTGAGCCTGGACGGTTGTGGGATGCTGGGACACCTGGCTGCAGTGCCTGGCTGGTAATTCAGTCCACCATAGTGAAGGCACTGGTTATCTCATCGAATGCAGGTCAGATCACGTCATTTCACCAGGAGTGTACACATCGTTTGTTTTCTAACATACTGTCTGCCGTAACTGACCACTAAAATGAAAATAAACAAATCCTGATTTAACTAATTAGTTTGATATTTCAGTGATAATTCATTCAAGACTTAACCCTGTTGACCTGTTCAAACCCTTTTAATGACTAAATTCTCTGCTGGGAATTTTAGCCGCAAGGTTGCTTTGTCAGATGGCCAACAATTCATACCACAAATACAATAATTCCTCCTCCTTTAACCTCGTACTTGTACAGCATTACCACCTGTAATCATGTTGCTTTCGTATTATTTTCAAAGTATATAGTCATGTTTCTGGTTTAAGAATCAGAAAAACAGGCCATGTGAAAATGGAAGGTACATGTATGTCAGACATTTAATATATTGTTGTATTCAAATTTATTTTCAAAACCTGCTACATTTGTTTAAATGTGAGGCATTCTCTTCTGCTGAAACAATGTTTGCTTATTTTTATTCCTCTTACAAAACTGTATTCAGTATGAGTCAAACATCACATTCCTCATTTACTCAACCCAAGAATTCCCCAATATATTGTAGTATAAACAGAGAGTGGTTTTGATTCATTTAAATTCCTTCTTACGAGAAACTAAAGCATTAAAAGACGCAAATTCCTTCCTCTTCAACTCTCACATTTATTTAATTGCAGTGAAGTAGGCTCCATATACTCTGTATTAGACACACCCAGGTTTATATTCGCTGTTAAGTTGTTCACTTTAATACTACACTACACTCTACATATTGCACAAGATCATGCAGTGCATTTAATCGGTATGTTGTTTTTCTTTGGGGAAACACTATCATCAGGTGACGGGAAAGATGCACATTTCTCAACACGTGTAAAACCCTTTGTTTCCAGTAGATGTTGACTGGGAGGAGGATGAAGGAGGAACAGGTGCATGAACTGGAATCCTTCCAACCACAGCGCATTTTTCATTAGTCATTTCATTATAAGGATACCAGTGACACCCAGGTTATTACAGGTACATCTCTGTTATGCAGTGCACAACCTCAGCTGTACTTTAAGGTTACAATAACGCAAATAATAATAACAACAAGAATTCATTTTATTTGAATAGTGCTTTTCAAGAACTCAAAGACGCTTCACAGGATAAAAGCAAAAAAGCAATAAAAGCAATAAACAATAAGCAACAAATACAAAGGTAGACAATATAGAAATACAGCAAGCAGAAAAAAAGAAAAAAATAACTCAATAATCAGACTTTCTCATGTGTTTGAAAACTCAACACGTCCAAAAGTTTCAATGTCCAAAGGAAGCAGGATGTAGTTCATAGAAAATAATCTGGGCTTGGTCCACAGACACAATTTCCTTTTCAGTAAGAGAGGTGGTTTTTCATGTAAATGTTTACCTATTGGCATTCTAACGTCATTTATGGTTCCCATACTTAGACCTACAAAAGGCTCTAATCTTATCTTTGCATACTGTCTAATTTCACCAGGGTTTATGGTTTTTATGTTGCTAAGAACAGTCATAAATGCTCATTTTGTTTGCCTCAGTGTACCAAGAATATTAATTTGTTAATTTATTAATTTATATTTGTCAGACGTCAGTTACACTACATTACAAAAATCAGAAAATGCAAAGGAGACATGACAGTTTAAATTGAGTTGTTTTGATAGATTTCAGGTGACCTGACCAAACATTAGAATTTGTAGTTGCTGTAGTTTGCTTGTTTGTTCAAATTTTGACATTGAATATTGGCCTACTTTTCCAATGCATCCAGTCTCTGCTGAGCTACAAAATCTTTGCACTGTATGTTTATCACTAATGTTTTATTCAGTGTCCATCCATCCATTATCTATACACTGCTTAATCCTAGGGTTGCGGTGGGCTGGAGTCTATCCTAGCTGACTTAGGGTGAAGGCAGGGGACACCCTGGACAGGTCACCAGTCTATCACAGGGTTACACTTAGAGACAGACAACCAAGCACACTCACATTCACACCTACAGTCAATTTAGAATCACCAATTAACCTCAGCATGTTTTTGGACTGTGTGGGAGGAAGCCCACGGGAAGAACATGTGAACTCCACGTAGAAAGATCCCAGGTGTCCTCACCGGAACGCGAACCTGCGACCTTCTTGCTGCGAGGCAATGGTGCTAACCACCGAGCCACCTTGCAGCCCTTTTATTCAGTGTTATTTATTAAATTAGATTTTGGCTATCTGTTTACCCGTGTCTCCATTTTTTTATGGTAAGCTAGGCGATGTCACAGTGTCTCTGCAGAGAAGACAGAAATAAAAATGATTTTTAACCTTGATCTGACCCTTTGTAAGAAAGCAAATAAAGCAAATTTGCAAAACTGTAAAACTGTAAAACATTATGTCTGTCTAAATGTTGGAATGTGTGTTACTTTTTTAAAACAGTACAATTGGCTTTTTCGTAGATTACATTGGCCTAAAGGTATTAAAATCACTTACTATGTATACTAAGCTAAAATTAAAATACAACTTCATTAAAGCAATTTGCAATTTCCCTGTAAAAGTAGTCATAGGTTCTTTGCTCCCTGGTGTTTTGTTCAACAGGTTCAGAAAATATCCAGAAGGCTACCTTTATTATACCCGGTGAGACTGAGATAATATGTTTGCCTGGCAGTTGAAAATGATTTCATAACAACAGATTATCTCACTGTAAAATAAACAGCGTGCAGCCATGCTGGTCATGCAGATGTCAACTGATGACAGCATGTTCCATGAGAAGTGTGTGGTCTAAAGTCGCACAAAATGCACTATGACAAGATCTGAGTCACACAAACAAGTGTCTTCTTTTTATGGTCACAGAACATATCGTAACAGCATGGACGAAAGCAGCAGATCCATCATGTTTGACTGCTCTTCTGTAACTTACAACAGTCTTTCATACAATATACTGTTTGCGTGCAGAGAAACATTCCACTGCACCCTTCTTCCTCAAGTTTTTAAGGGCACGCCTTAACTCTGTGCACTCCTTTCGAGTGAAACAGCCTCAATAATGGAATTTTGCTCCATTGTTCTGCTGCTTTAAAGCATGTCCACCGCAGCCCTGACAATGCTGGACAAGTGGGGTGGTTTATTTTTAGAGGCATAATCGAAGCAAAGAATTCATGAATGAGGAAATGTGAAGACTTAGGGCTGCACCATTGCATTTGCTGTCTGCCACGATATGGTTTGGTTCAATAGTCCAGTGCAAAAAAGGAACTGTGTCTGAAAACACATATGTACATGTTCCCTATAGACGTTTAGAGCCTGACACACAGACTAGCAGAGTTAAAAACACATTTTTTAAATTGTAACTTGGGTGCATCTAAATAATGCGGGTGTAAATGGTACGTGACGCATACCTAAATGTTCATGCCAGTGTCACCACTGCAAAATGTCATGCCATGCTTTGGTAGCTGCAGCCAACAGTGTTCAGGGTTCACTCAGGGCAAAGAGGAGGCCAAAGCATTGTGTGTCTTGCAAGTGCACTTGCTGTTTATTGTGTATTCTAGTTTTCACTTGTGTAACGACTGCCATGACCTGTAACCTTCTGAACTGTTACATATACAATA